CTTAAAGCTGGGTATCTCGAATTCCGAGGTGAACTTACTATAATGACTGGACTATTAGTCCAGCCGCTTTCTTGGCTGAAGAGTTGGCAATGCGATTACCTACACTCCTTTCGTGCCCTTTATCCCACCTCAGGATAATGTTATTATCTACCGAGGCTGACAGTTGAAAGGAATTTTACAATATATTCGTTCGAGATTAAGGCTTTAGATGATAAATTCATTGACAGCTTATAATTGAAACAAGTGGTCGTTGATTCACGGATATAACTAGATTCATTACCAACCCACAAAACAATAAATTTACTGAAAATATAATTTTTATTTCAATTTTACAGAGAATTTGGAGAGAAAATTCACGGACTTTGGCTCATGGAAAATTCAATGTATTCATGAGATCATATTTATCAGAGTAAATGTTACATACCTCATCTTTTTTCAAAATTTCTTAAGGAAGTGGCCGCCATTAATTTAGAATACACGTGTCAAACACGCTATGATTAGTTTAATATGGAGGGAATAGAAAAATATAATTTTTCACTTTCTGTTCCTCATTTGACGTTTTTGTTCGAGTCAGAGTTTCATAAGTCATTCAGATACTGAATTCAGAACCTATTCAGAAAAACCTTGCAACTGAGATATCACATTTAAATAAAGTGTTTGTTGTTGTAGACGTGTTGATGGTCAAGGTTATTCGTTGGTTCTATTTTTAGTTTTTGGTTGTTTCATTTTTGATGAAGCCCGTTTCGTTTCAAATTTTGTGTTATGGTTGAAATCAATTTGGCTGTATTAGGTTTATGAAATGACAATATTCAACAAAGACATCCAAACAATTTATCCATAAACGTCCATTCCCGAAATTGATTCTCGTTATTCTCTTTCAACCTCCAAACAGAAATAATTACCAGTTGGACAGTTGGCCAACCACAAATTTCAGTAATAACGTGTCGTATTAGATAAAACAGAGCGCAATGTGTTCCTCGAAAAATCAAGTTTCGAAAAAGAAGCTACATCGAATCCTATGTCTATACGTACGTTTTCTCCATCTTGAGGGATTTTCATCTATCAACGAATTCGAGCCGTCAAAGAGATAGAAACCCGAGAGAAGCTTTAATATTTTCTCGAAAGCTGAACTCAAGAATTTCAGAGGGAAGCAAAATGTCTTATATCTTTGACGAAATGTAAGTGAACGTCTTTCAATTATTCCAGATTTGACAACCCAAACTGAATATTCCTCATGCACTTGAATTACTACTCGGTGAATTCAACAGACTTTGATGGTTATGAATTATTTGAGAACTATTTCAAATGGCACTCGTTAAATAGATCAAGTAGCATGTTTCAATCCAGATCCATAGTTCAGAATTCACCTACAAATATAGCTGGTGATTTCAGGACAGATGTACAGCATATAAGTCTCAAAATCCCCCTCAGTTGGATATAATCCAACGCCCTGCAAGGTATTAGCCAGGGGAGTAGTTGTTTTCTGATAGGCGTCAGTCCATTAACCTACAGTGTAGGTAATTCGCGATTGGCCTGAACAAATTGTTCTTTTAGATAATTTAAGGAATGGTGTACCTCTAGGAACAGTGATAGACCCCTGGTTGTTTGATATGTACCTAAACAACTTGTTCTCTAAAAACTGACTGAAGTGTGATCAGCAGTTCATACTGCCTTTTTATATAAAAATAATACTTGGACAATTTTGAAAAATAAATTTGAAATAGTGAATCGACTCTTTATTTCATTATTTGGATTTGATCAGTTTTGGGCATGAAGTTGTGTGGCATCGAAGTTCGATCCTCAATTGCTGAATTTTGATAAAAAAATCCGATGCATGAGCATCGCTCAGGAATTGTTGAATGTCATATCTGGTGACAAATGATGAATATAAGGTTATCAAATCAAAATATGCTTTATTACCTAAGACTTGAACATCTTATTGGTAGAATCTAGTAAAGTAAAACGTGTATATGGGACATTAAATTAACAAAAATAAACAATATTGAGCCCAACTGAACAGATACAAATATAAGTACATGAATATATGAATATTGAGTAGATGTAAATATATAATGCTACGTAATGAACATTGATAGCCATTTTGTGTTGATTTCAATAACTTGTTTACACAAAGCTTCATACCAGTTACTCGATAAAACCTTGGTAGAATTTGTCCACACTACAATAGGGCCTCCCAACAAGGAATTCTTTTACTTTTTTTCTGAATTTCTTCTCATCATATATTCGCCTTGAATTAATGGGAAGGTGATTAAATAACACTTGCTATTGAAAATAATAGAATTTTGTGTAAGGCCTAGAGTAGGTGTTGGAAGGGAAATGAAGTAAGACTGACGTGTACTATAAGTTGAAGTGATATTAAACTGATTTTTATATTTTTTGTGGATAAGACACACTGTTTCCAAAATGAAAAGACCTACCAAGGTCAGAATTTTTTGCTTCACAAATAATGGGCGGCATGAATCCCTGTAGCTAGCCTTGCATAAATATCTGATGGATCTTTTTTGTAGAGATAATACCATATTGAAACGAAATTATGCACACTTTCCTCAGAAACAAATTCCATAACGTAAATAGAACTCAATTTGTGCAAAACAAACTGATCTTGTAATAGTAGTGTCTAACTCTCTTGAAAAAACTCTCACTGCATGACATCCTGCTGCTAGTTTTTTACATAAGTAGTCGAAATGGAATTCAAATTTTAGATTTTCATCAATGAAGAGCCCTAAAAATTTGTTTTTCTCCAAATTTTCTATTTTTACATTTCCCAAGGTGGTATTGCTATGCCAAAGGATAGTGGTGTGGTCAGCAGAACATGTGGATTTACCACTTATGTCAACATGGATTAAGTCATTGACATAAATGAGAAACAACACCGGTCCCAAAACGGAACCTTGTGGGACCCCACTGCAAATGAAACGTTCCTCTGATGAAATTTCATCTAATAGAACATTCTGCCGCCGATGATAAAGTAATGCAGATCCTCTAAATCCGTAAACTTCTAGCTTCCGAAGAAGTAGTATGTGGTCTACACAATCGAAGGCCTTGGTTAGGTCATAAAACATGGCCGCCGCAGATTTTCTTTCATTAAGATTGGTGTACAGGTTTTCCAGGAGTGAAAATATGATGTCTTGTGTACCTTTTGAAGACTGAAAGCCAAACTGGAATAAATTTATTATATTGTTTTTCTCGAGTAAGGATATTACTCGTTTTTTCATCAGTTTTTCTATAATAATAATATTTATTCAATTGTTATATTTTTACTTGTAGTTTATTTCAGTATTATTTCATTTCATGAATGAATAATAATATTTATTCAATTGTTATATTTTTACTTGTAGTTTATTTCAGTATTATTTCATTTCATGAATGAATAATAATATTTATTCAATCGTTATATTTTTACTTGTAGTTTATTTCACTATTATTTCATTTCAGGTTTATTTTGCTTAATATAATTGTTATTTTCAGCTATTCATTTTTAATTATTCTTTTTTAGTTGTTTCAGGGATTTCAAATCATTTTATATAGTAGACAATGGAAGTCCGAACTAGTGAAATTCATCATGTAACATTGTCAATCACCTTAAAACTCATCGAAGATTCATTTTTATTATATTATAGCACTATATTGTATTCTATTCACAAGTTGTAATTCATTTTTGTACGTATGATACTTACAGACGAAACGTTTGCTACTTCAAGTTCCATTCGATCACGGTCTACTATCTGTCATCAACGCCTCTGTTATTATTGTTACTATTCCTGAATAGTTATCTTTGTGTGCTTCTGAAAAACTCATCATTTTTCACCACTAGATAATAATAATAATACTTATTATTATTACAATAGTTTTTGTTCTGTCAAAATGCTTCTGAGGTTTCTAAAAAGGAATTTGATTTGTTCATCACCATGGATGTTGCAACCATGGATGCAAGTCAGACATGCATCCATGGTTATTTCCAGCAATGCTGTATCGTCTGAACTGTTAAGTGTTTGATCATTGAATTGAATTTGAACTTTTTCGCACTGTCTTTGACGGTTGTGGAATCTCACCAACTGAGTTTTTTCAGCATTGAGGTACAATAAATTGTTTCCGCACCAATTCATAACTGACTTCAAAGTACTTTCACACTTCTCGAACAGAAGATGATCCACTTTACTGGACACCACCAAGGATGTGCCATCAGCGTACAACGTTATTTTGAAGTGAAATTGACAGATGAAACTTTCCAGATGGCGCCCAGTCGCACTGTATAAAGAAGGAATAATATCGGACCTAGCACAGATCCTTGTGGTACACCCATCGTAACGTCCAAAGGCTCAGAATCAAAGGTAGTAGTGGTACACTCACTTTGATATTTCAAGCTAACAAACTGCTCTCTATTCTTCAGAAACGATAAAGTCCAGTAATAGGCAACACCTCGTATACCACATGAAAAGAGGCGATTTGAAAACGAAACTGAGAAATGAACTTCTGCAAAAAAGTTTCAAACAAGTGAATTTTCATACGTGAAAGCACCATTTTTAACACTTTCCTTCATAAGTGGTTTCAACAATTTTTCGATTGTATTTTATACTAAAGACTTTTCACCAATACCAAATCTAAATATGGAATCTATTGTAATTTTTATTGACCACTGATGTTAACAGACTGTTAACAGGAAATGGATTTTGGCACTAATGCAGAACCAGTAGTTTTTAGTAGCACTCTCCAAAGTTGATCCTAATCTTAGTTCCAACTATAGAGATATATGGGACATACAAAGCATAACATTCAACGTACAGCCTGTGAGTAATAAGTTTTCGTGAAAAAATATTATTCTTCAAAAGTTTCACTCCAGGTCAATTTGAAATCGACAAGTATATTTAATTCACCCTGTATATACTGATACACCTGTATATCGAATCTTCCACTTTTCCTACCGAAATAGGTCAGTCCCTAGAAGGTTACCACCAATCAATAAACCCTCCCTCACTCACCGATCTACTTCATTTCGAGAAAACCAAAAACAAGCAACGGTTTCGATATCCAAGCACCAGGAGTTCCTCAGAAATTCTGACGAAACCGATCGCAGATTTCCGCTGCAGAACGAAACACGCGCCGATCCGAACGAAAGACGGGAAAATACTGGCCAGGATCAAAGCAGGAGTATGGCAGGATCCTCCCCGCCGGACCGGAGGACGAGAATAGTCCCGGAGGCAATAGGGTTGGGTTTGTGGCTGATGCTATTCTCGGTCGAGGACTGGTCTGATGTCAATTGCGTCGAGATGCTGACACTACAATAATCTGAACTCGTCTGGAAAATTGGATGTTTGTATGGAATCTGGAGATGTATTTACTGGAGAGGACGTCATAGGGACGATTGAAGAAGATGCCGTTTGCAACAAATGAATAGAAATATGATGAAAGTGTGGTGTTCAATACTGAAGGTTCAGCCGCTCATAATAAGAAGGACTTTCAATCAGAGATATCAACAGAAACGTCCTTGTTAATTATTTGAAAGTGGCTGACATTGCTTCATGGTTTACTTTACTATTTTGGACTTCCATTGTCTGATTCTAATATGGTTCGAAATATATGAAAGAACAAATAAAATTAGAATGAATATCTGAAATATCAACTATAATTATCAATTATAATTAAACTCCTACACATATCAATTCAGAAATCTCAAACTCGTCCTTAATGAGGAACAACTCCTGAAATTATATTATGCTCAAATTGATCCCAGATTAAGATACGGGGTGCGCTTCTGGGGCCTATCCACCTCATCATCAGATATTTTCATTGCGCAGAAGCTATAGTTGGAGTTTCAAAACGCTCATCCTGTAAAGATCACTTCAAGAATCTAAAAATCCTTACGCTTCCATCACTGTTGATTTTCGAATTCTGTATGTACGTAAAAAAATTGTTGCTTCACACCGAACAACTCCAGATACGAATACAGAACACGCCAACAAGACCATTTTTATATTCCTTTCAGTTGTACAAAAATTCATTATAATTCTACTGGAGCAATGGCTCCCCGGAATCACAATTCATTATCCGACGAAATAAAAAAGGGTGGAACACTCTATTGTTTCAAAAACAAATTGAAGGACTTCCTAGTGACAAAGTGATCCTTAACTTAACCGTTACGAAAAATAACAATAAACATGAATTTGCAATTTTCCACAAACCATCGTACACGGCATTATCATACATAATTCCTTCACACACCCTTATCAGCATAAAGTTGCTGCATTCAATAGTATGCTTCACAGATTATTTAATATTCCACTGTCTGATAGTGATTTCCAGAGAGAGCTGAGTTTGATCGAACAAATCGCGATTAATAACGGTTATAAGGTAGATATTATAGACTCCATACTTTCCGAAAAACTACAAAAGCAAGCCATGGACCTGGTCTACCTATATTCAAGATGCGATAACGTCAGTTATAGGACATTGGCATATTTGGGCGAACCAACCAAGAATATTGTCCGTTTTTTAAAGAAAGAAGGCGTAAACGTAGCTTACAGAACGAATAATAATCTAAGAAAATTTATTAAAAACAATACAAAACTTCGGTGTCGGATAAATCAGGAGTATATAAGCTGACTTGTGGCTCTTGTCCAAACCTGTATATTGGCCAAACAGGAAAACATTTTCCCAAAGAATTGAAGAGCAAATAAGTAGTTTTGTAAATAGAAATACCGATTCCGCATTTGCAAACCACCTTTTAGCATATATATATATATGATGTGTTATTTTTCCGGGTGTTCGATAGTCGACGTTTCGCCATCATCTCAGATGGCATTATCAAGACGAGTTACTGCTTCGCTTCGAGAGGTTACACCTCGTCTTGATAATGCCATCTGACATCTGAAGACATTGGTATAGTTTGGTACTCAAATATGTCAGACTTTTTTGTCCTTTTGATTTTCTCATAAAAGGAGTCAAATATGTGAGTTGTCTGTTCCTTGTATTGTATTGATGTTCCGGGTTCTTCAATTCGTGCTTAGAATCATGCTGTTTGATGTTGCTACGTAAAAAAAATTGTTGCCTTGGATCCATAATATTAGTTTCATTGAATAGTCTATCCGATGGATATTTTATATCTTTATTGAATATAATTTTAGGTAGGCGCTTTTGAACAATGATTAATTTTTCGAGGTGAGACTTACTTAAACCTACCCATGCTAATATTTCATACACAATATGTGGTTCCACTAACACCTGATATATCGTTCTCATTGCTTTGAAATCTAGAATATATTCAACATTTTTGAGTTTATAAATTAAAAACTGTATTTTCTTAGTGATGTATTCGATTTGTTTATTCCATTTCAGGTTATTATCTATCATAACACCAAGGTATTTGATTTTATTACAGCTGCATATTGAGATGTCTTCAGTGATTTGCAGGCTATCATAAGAAGGAGTACTTCTCTTATCAATATGTATGGGTAGAAAAAATGTTTTTTTAAAGTTAATTGTTAAAAGTCTATAGTTGAAAAAGGCTTGAATACTACGGATATCGCTTTCTGCTTGAATTTTAAGTGATAGCCAGTCTTCATGACTGTAGAAAATTGCAGTTTCATCCGCATAAGTAATAATTGGACCACTTGTGTTTATTCTGAATAGATCATTCAAATATATATTGAACAGAAGTGGTCCCAAAACAGTTCCTTGGGGTACACCATATTCTATTCTTTGAAAATTGCTCCTCACCATCTTCAGTTCAACACATTGAAATCTATTGGAAAGATAACTTTCGAATAATTTTAAGGCCACTCCCCTTATGCCGATGTTTTCCAAGCATTCCAAAAGCAAGTCATGACTGACCGTATCGAATGCCTTTGAAAGGTCTATAAATACACATAGAGAGGGTTTTCCTGTATCTAAGGCATTATACATCTTTGTTGTAAGGGCGAGAATTGCATCTTGGGTTGATACTCCTTCTTTGAACCCGTATTGGTTGGTATATATATATATATAAAGGAAAATTAGTTGCATCATATTCTACCATCCGTGAAAACCTACATTAGTAGGTTTTCACGGATGGTAGAATATGATGTGTTGTTTTTCCGGTTGTTCATCCGTTGTGTACTATTCGATAGTCGACGTTTCGCCATCATCTCAGATGGCATTATCAAGACGAGTTACTGCTCCGCTTCGAGAGGTGTAACTGATGTTAGGTTCTTCTTGTGGTGTTTTTATATGGTTTCGCTTGCGTAAGTTGTATGGATTTGTTACCTGTTTTTCTACCTGAGGGTTGTTGATGGCTTTTGGTAGTTCTCCTACCTGAGGGTTGTTAATGGCTTCTGGCGGTTCTCCTACCTGCGATGGTTCATTATCAATTTGTGGTTGTCTTTGGTGGTTGTTTTTAATTATTGTTATTGCTATCTTTCTTGTGGACTCAAAATTAATCTTGTGACCTGTTTGTAGATGGTGTTGAAAGAGGGCAGAGGAGGTTTGTTTTGTTCTTATCGAGTTCACAAGATTAATTTTGAGTCCACAAAACAGATAGCACAGGTGCAAAACCCAAGAAATCGACAAATCAGGGAAGCTATCGAAATCGAAAAGCAAGGCCTCATCAACAAAAGGAATGACTCACTAAACATCCCAAGGATTTGGAAAACAATAATTAAAAACAACCACCAAAGACAACCACAAATTGATAATGAACCATCACAGGTAGGAGAACCGCCAAAATCCATCAACAACCCTCAGGTGGAAAAACAGGTAACAAATCCATACAACTTACGCAAGCGAAACCATATAAAAACACCACCATCAGTTACACCTCTCGAAGCGAAGCAGTAACTCGTCTTGATAATGCCATCTGGGATGATGGCGAAACGTCGACTATCTAATAGTATATATATATAAAATCTACAAAGGTTAATGAAGTCAAGCTGCTGGAAAATAATTCCATGAAAATAAAAAAATTAATAGATAAGTACTCTTTGTTAATTCCCATATTGATATCAATTCAAGAGCCACTGGTAGACAGCTGTTTCAGCCTATTGGGCATCGTCAGTACCGGGCAGGCGGTCCACGATTGAAGACAAAATGAGAAAAAACCAAGAAAGTACTTGATAAAAATAGCTGCGTAAATGCAAGCGAAACATAAGTGGAACCACCTATTGGTGTGACACCCAAGTCAACTTGCCAAGTTTTTATGTCAGTGTTGGTGGTTTGACTAATCAACCGACAACTGCGGTAGCCGAAATTTGGGAAGCTAATCTCACAATAAAGTGTCGTTAAAAATATTTTTAATGAATATAAAATCGAATTGATGGATGTAGCCGCTACTATATCATGAAAAATGAGAATCAAAACCCCCATGTTTTTATACCACTTTTATTTGTAACTAACGTTATTGCAGTTTCATCTTACAAGGACATATTCGAAGGAATATGTCCTTGTAAGATGGACATATGGACAATAAACGTCTGAAAATGTCTTTGTAGGACGAAACTGCAGTAACGCGAGTTACAAATAAAAGTGATATAAAACATAGAAGCTTCAATTCTCATTTTTGATAAATAGAAAATTATCAATTGCCTTTTGTTCGAAAATTATACGATGAACAAATACTGCTACGAAAATAAAATTCAATTGCTGTTCCTCTCTGAAATTCCCATTTGAGATAATTCCGTTACAGATCTTTACCACCCCTCGTGGCTTTTGTTTACGGCGATGTCTCTGCTGCCCCAACCCCTATTTGTCTTTGAAAACTTCTGGGCTCAAATAAGATTTCCACAAGAATTCTTACAGCTCTTGTATCGTTCATATAAATCTTGAGGATAACTTCTGACAATATGATCGTCATATTTCAAGTGTAATCTTATCTGAAGAATTCATCCTGTGAGAAGTGGCCGCAGTAATGGAATGTGCTTGTACCATACCTACGCCAGGATAAAGTTGTGAGGGAGTTAGAAGTTTATCCAAGGAAGTTCAGTTTGAGACAGTGTTTGGAATATATTGGCTAGGTGAAAAACTGATTCAACGCTCTCATCAAACTCTGATAATAATAAAATATTCATTGAGAGTTATTTCTGAGAAAATATGGATAAGTTACTACGTATATTATAGTTATTTTTCACAAAAAAATCAATTCATCAGC